AGCAGGAAATGCTAATGCAAAGTGAACAGGACACTGGCTCCTCTTCTGGGTGCAAAGATGTAGCAAGTTAAGACACAATAAAGGAAATTATAACACCATCTTTCACGATATTCTCAAATTAACTAAACAAAGATGTTACAGCTGAGTCGGGAACTTAAAATCTTCCCTTTTCTTTTTTTAATTTAGACTTGTATGATCTGTCCTCGAGTCATGTTTTCAAAACTATTCCCATTACTGTTCCACAGGACTTGTCATAAAGTACCACAAACTCACAGCCATATAGAGGCATTTGGGTACAGAATGATGTTGGGAGCAGCCTTGAGATGTATCGCCTTCAAAGATAATCTTAGATGGATGAGCTCTGTTTAGGGCTACCTGACAGAGATGGTTGTACATATTTATCATCTCACCAGACAGCACAGCTCATTCTGTAATTGTATTTGCCTATTGCTATCTGTTGCTGCAAAGAAAACCAGGTCACAACCATAACCCTGTGCAGCTCTCTTGTTCCTTGACAGACTTCTGCACCAGGCAGGATTCTTGTGTTGTCTTCCTTTCTTATTGTGTGCATACTGATAGCAAAACAATGTGCTAAAAGGATCTTCCTAAAACCATTTGCAGTTCATTAAAAAAATAATAATAATAATTAAAAAATCATAGGATATAATGAAGAATGTGTCCCAAAACACAGTACCTCAAATAAACAAAAATGTACACTGTTGTAAGCAAAGAAATAATATAACAAATACAAATAATGGTAGGATAAAGAAATTAGATGAGTGAAATGAAGACAGTCATTACAAATTGTAGATTTCATGCTTCAAAATAATTAAAATTGCTCGAAGCATTTCCTTGCTTCTAGAGTCCAAATAAAAGGATTCAATAAGCAACCTTCCTTCAGATTCAATTTTTACTGTCCGTAGTCAGTGCAGCTCCAGAAAATGATTGTAAGCTTGTTCACAAAACAGTACCTCATAATTACTCAAGTCAAAAGTTAAACTTCTTCAAATGTTCCAATAACCACCCACGCCTATAATACTCACATGATTTTATTCTGCCACCTGAATAAAATGAAGGTTTTAGGAAAAAAATATTTGCTACCATCACCCTATCCATTTAAATGCCACAATTCCAAAACGCATATGCTGATCCTCTCACTGAAGGCAAAGGGTGCAAGAAGACAAAGTAATGGTTCATTTTCCTCATTCCTAAAGACTATTGTGAAGGTCCTAGTTTCAAGTTTCCTGGATTTTCTCATCAACAACTATGTTAGCAAAAGCTGAAGTCTTCAATACATTGTGAGATCAAGTCCCAAGGGAAAAAAGATTCTACTTTTGCTGCTTTTTGTTCCTTGAAATCCTGACAATCTGCCATCTTGCAGTCTTTACAACTTTTAAAGGGGAAAAAAGTGCAATGGCGAACAAAACACCCTTCAGAAAATAAAAAGCACCAGTTTTAAACATGCAAAAACAAGCTTCCAGTTTTCTCAGAAGTTTCAAAGTGGAGCAAAAGGGCAGAAAAATCATTGCTTGATTATGCAAAATAAAATTAGAATGCCTCTGACATATCCATCAATTCTTCAAGTTTTCAGGTATGCTGAGTGAAGCAGTTCAGAACAGACTGCACATCAATCTATCACACTTAAACGCAATCACAGTCAAACACAACAACAGTTAGTGCCTGAACTACAGAGATGCACTTAATATTCCCCAGTCAGCAATCAACCTTTTCCACATTTGTTCATAATCACAATGAATTGTTTCATTTTAATGCTTTGTTTTCCTTTTCTTATCCCATGGCAGTTTACTGTGCCTTTTAAACTAGGTATTTAAACAAACAAAACAAAAAAAAAATCTCCTTTTCCAATTTTATTCTTCTAAGTAGAAAGCATTTTTTTTAAAAGAACAGTAAATTACTGGACATATTTTCTTACCTATTGCAGTCCACGTGGAGCAGAAGGTGGGATGCACTAAGTGACACAGCAATTTTATGCCACTGCCCATCTGCCAGACGATATGGAAACACCTCTGTTCTTGACTTCCCATTAAACCTGTAGTGGTATCTGATCTCATCCCGTAGGCCACTGCTCTCCAGTTCAAAATAGCTGCATTCAAAACAAAGAAAAATCAGTTTGGTGGTTGTTTGTTGTTCGTTGTGTTTGGTTTTTTTCATTTAGTCATTGCTTCTGTCGCTTTCTTCTTAATTCATAGACTTCTTTAAGCAACCACCACACGTAAGGTTCACAATCTAAGAGGCTACTCAGCATGGATTGGCTACTAGTTCATTTTTTAAAAGAGGCAGAGAGACAAGGCTACACATTCAGTGCATTAGAAAATACCCATGACAGGAGAACAGCTCATGTTCCAAACACCATTTTACAGTCTTGGAAACCAAAGTCCCCTTTTTATGTATACAACAGGCTAAACTACAGGAAAATTACCCTCATTCTTTCCCACAAAATATTCTTATTAAATAGGATTTGTAGGAAGTGCAAAAATAAAGGACTGTACATATCATTATCAACAAACAAACAAGCTATTAAGGTGAAGAAACCACCAAGTAATCATTAAATCTGTATTTACAATTTGCAAATCCACCTTTTTAAAAGCCTGTTTACTTTTAAGGCTCCCCTACATGCAAATTTACTTAACTCATTTTCTGACTTATTGTTGCAGCTGTAATTGTTCAGCTTCACAAGGGAACAAATCCTCCTGGCTAGATTAGGTGTCTCAACACCTAGCATAAAGAATCAAAACCCTCAGACAGTTGTCACCAGAGAACAGCCATAAGAGAACTAACAAAGTACAGCTAGTAAGTGGCTTCATGATGGAATAGGGGAGTCAGTTCTTCTTTTAGGGTGAATTTTGCCCTTACAGGTGGTAGGACAGCATATCAAAAAGAGGCTCCCTTTTTCCTCCTATCATGAAGCCCTAGCTATAGAAGGGAGGAGATGCAGACCACCTTTTATAGTAGAAAAACCTCTACAACTAAAAGCAGATGGTAGGTTATCTAGCTAGTCCCTACTCACGTCTACCTCCACAGCATCATGTTCTTCCCTACTGGGCAATGTCAATTTAACATGGCAGTTGGAAGATGCCGGCTGGTGTGGGGTAATGAAATCCACTTTCAAAAAATAAATGCACCACAAAAAAAAAAAAAGTATCTAGGTGTCGATTTTCATTTCTTCACAAGCTTTTTACACTCCTCAGCTGTGACAGACCCTGATAGCGCGCAGAGACACATGAGGTGTGTGCACTTTATCAACAATAGCTCTTACCAGTCAAGTGGAGGCTTTTTAGAACATAAAAACTGAAAAACAGAATCCTTTGTGAGGAAATTACTCAGGACAGAAAACACTAGCTGGGAATTGTGCAAAAGATTGCAACAGACCAAGAAGGGGAATACCTAGACAATGAATTTTGACCAAAAGAGAAACTCAAACCCTGCTCCATCCTGCCAATGCTTTGCAATTACATTGTTCCTGCAACAACATATGAGCATTATCAGGTCACCCAAATGAAAGACTCAAGTGGCAAAGTAAAACCAGTCACAGTCAGATAAAGGCAATACCAAAATGGAATGAAAACACAGCAGGCATACATACAAATAAGTACATGCAGTACAGAGTGGAAAAAATAAGAAAGGCTGGTGTTGTGAAAGAACTGACTGCTTCATGTACATAAAGGCACAAGTTTTCTAAACAGGAGAGCTGACTGATGATTAATGACCACCACTGCCACCACCCTTTAAGATACCTAAATGACATTTGTAAGAAATCCGAATAGGATTTTTTTTTTTAATATTTTATTTTGGTGCTCTAGTAAGAGCACAGTCAACACAGAACCTGCAGCTGTTGGCATTTTCAAGTCAGGAAACCACCAGGACAAGTACTGTCAGTGAAGTCATACTTAAAAAGTTAAATGTTTCTTAATTGCCATCTGCTGTCAAAGCACAAAAGGAAGTCATTAAAGAGACTTTATTTCTCTCTTGCTCAGATAAACAGCAATGAGGCAGGAAACTTGAAAAAAAATGAAAGAGAGCTACCTAACATTCTAATACCTCTACCACACACAAAGTATTTGTATAAATATATGTATATTTTTACATGGCTGATCATAGAAGCTTAAGATCCTGAGAGCACAAGAAACATTGCTTATTACACAATGTGGTGGGGTTTTTAGTAAAAAGACAAACCTCAGTAAACAACAGCCAATTAAATCCCAACAGCAGAAATGGGCTGGATCAGCCCACTATGTAACTATCTAAAAGATTTTAAAAGCACAAGGCAGTGTAAACCAAGGCTCTTTCATTATTTTTTTGAAGATGCACAAATTCACGTCAAGAACTTGACTACATACACACTTCACCATGCTCATAGCTCAGATGATTTACTTGTCTTTTCTCTACCAGGGTACTATTCATGTGCAAATAGGTTTCTCAATAGCAAACATCATCTTTTCTTTCCACCTCCTACCATACTCTGGAGGAAGCACTTCTTCAAAAGCAATGACATCAAGGCCATTCACTCCTGGAAATAAATGCACCTGCCCTGTACTAATCTGCAAATTGTGGAATGGAAGATAAATGAGGAGAAAAACATAAGTTTAGGCATGAAATCATCAGCCTGTGGGAAAATAATTAGTAAAGCTAGATAATTATTTTTTTTCATGTATCTATGTTATCCTTGCCTTGAAATGCCACTGCACAAGTTTTTCATCTACTATAAACCAACTGGTAAAAAAAAGCAGGAAATTAACAGAAACTAGGATACAAGAGGCAAGAAAACGAACTGATCTCCAACAGTTCTGTCTTTTTATAGGTACTTCACAGTATTTTGCAAGGAAGAAAACAGAAACAGAACAAGACAGGATTCCCGAAAGGATTGCAGAATATGGGACCACCTGAATAAATGTATCATCAGTAATCAAGTGTGAACTTTCAGTGTTGCCATGAGATCCACGCCAAAAGCCCAAGGGAGACCACTGAGTATTACAACCATTTCTGCTTCTGCATCACACTTGCATGAAGCCTATGTGTCAACCTGTGCTGTAGTCAGCCCCCTGCTACCCTCCTCAAGACCTTTTCCAACTGAGAGAGATGTGAGACAGTTAGGAATCTGTCAACTTGTGAACCCCAAGTGGCCATTTCCTGGTTTATTTCTCAACAAGGACTTATTTTTATGGTTTTTAACTGGCATGATCACAAGTAACATGCATTTTGACAGATTCAATCTCAGAAAGCAGGTATTAAGGCTCACTGTTTATGGAACAGCAATACACTATGACCTTGGCTGAAATTTTCCCACTGCTAGAATTTTCATGTCTGCTGAGCATGTAAGTTACTGCTGACTTCTTTTATACAATTACAGAATTAAAATGCTTTTTATAGCTCTGTCCATGGTTGCTCATTCAAATCCCAATGTGGAAGAGGAAAAAATATGTTGCTAAATTCAGATTCATTTTATGCACACCAAAAAAAAAAGTTAGGATATTTTTAAATCGTGCCATGTGCTTGACAGCATGTTAGTCCACAACCAACTCAAGATGTTTTACAACACTGACAACTTTTGCAACCCCTATGTACCTCACACACTAATATTGTTGTGAGAGGATAAAGAGGACTCAGTCATGCTTAATGCTCTCTTTTTTTCTTCCCCTTCTTTTAGTCACAACCATAGCGAATATTTAATTCTGCATTTGACAGCTCATTTCATTTCCAGATCAGGAGAAAAAGGGGCCTAAAAGTACACTGTAAATTGGGAGTAGCTGCAGTGGATGTAATGAGCAACGAAAACGGACAAGTCATTATCAATATGAAAACATGTAAGACACCTGAAGCAGAAAAAGCAAAGTATTTCTAAAAGGTGAGTTGATTTAATCCACCATCTGTATTAAAAAGCCAAATTCATCTATTCACTACTTTTTGTATCGAATTCTAGAAACATTCCACTTTTTCATGTTTAAACATAAATAAAGAAAAGTTATCATTCTGACTTGACAACTTCCATCATCCCTGGTCAAGTGCCAGATAAAGCCCCACAGCCTCTCCCAAGGAGCAGCACCAGCACTTACGGCAGATGCTCTTAGAGCTACTGAACAGATGTCTCAGGGCAAGGCAGCAGGCACAGATGGCATCCCTGCAAATATGTGCAAACTTGGGGTTGCCATCTCGTCAAAACACTTGTGCATCTGCTTAACATTGTGTGGGAGAAGGTCACAAAACCACAGGAAGGATGGAAGCACCATTCACCTTCCACAAGCAGCAGCAACACCACTGTGTCAGGTCTCCCAGCTCCTGGAAAATGATAAAAATGGCTTCAGACAAGACTGTGCTCTAGCACCCTTGCAGAAACACTCCTTGTATTCAGTGACAAACTATCAACTTTTTTACAAGGACATATAGCAGTAGCACAAGGGGCAATGGCTTTAAACTGGAAGAGGAGAGATTTAGGTTAGATATCAGGAAGAAATTCTTCACTCTGAGGGTGGCAAGACACTGCAACAGGTTACCCTGAGAAGCTGTAGATCACCCCTCCCTGGAAGCGCTCAAGGCCAGGCCAGATGGGGCTTGGAGCTACCTAGCCTAGTGGGAGCTGTCCCTGCCCATGCAATGGGGTTGGAACCAGATGACCTTTAAGGTCCTTTCCAACCCAAACCATTCTGTGGTTCGATGAAATCTGCATCCATTATCACACAGATTTCAGGATTTCTAATCTACAGAGATTCTGTGATGAATCACAGATCATGATGCTTTTGGCCTCTCACTGTTCCTTACCAGTGGCTGACTCTGTGCACAGTGGTACACACAGCATGTTGTTATTTTCATTGCGTTGCCAACTGGCTCAGCTCAGACAGCAACATAAAAGAAACTGAGATCTTGTTTCAACACTCCCCAGTGGAAAGCAAGTCAAGGCAAGAGCAGGTAGAGGGCACACTATGCTGCAGACAAGCTGACAGTATCCCCGAGACCATTGCCACTGTCAAGGATGCCATGCAGAGCAAACCCAGTGCCTCTGAAACAAGAGAAGCATCTCACTGCAAACAGAAGTAAACACCTACCTTGCAGTTGTCACCCCAGTTCTGTGGGGATGCAAATCTAGAACAA